CACACACACACAATAAAACTGAATAGAAAAAGTACAGTAGCTACATTGGAGGAAGTTTGTTTATTTAAAGTCACTCAGAGTTGTTCCTCTCTAAACTAGGAGAATTTAAAATTAGTATAATGTTCTTCCCAATGCTGCTCCTTAATATCTCTGATTCTTAGCCTAGACACTTCAACAGACAAACAAAAATCCTTCTCGAGATTTTTGGAAATGTATGTTTCGAGTTGACACAAACTCTTTCATATTCAAAGGAAAATAGTTATAACTGAACAGGTCATGGGAGCTCTCGGCAGAGAAGAGCTTGATCAGAAAAGTTTCTGTAGGCAAGAGTTTCTTGGAGCTTTTTGAGTCTACACCAAGATGCCCCTGTGGTTCTTTCAAACAATCCTTCCTTGTCAGTATCCTTAGGACTTCCCATTCTTGGAGCTTGAGGAACCTCCTAGTGATCTGGCAGTGCATGCCTTACACAAGGCTGGAGCCTTACACAAGGCTGTAATTGTGCCTCACAGTCCCCAATTCTAATTGTGTAAACATCTTTACAAAGACTTCTGTTTTGGGTCCCTTTAAGGGGGAAGGGCATATTTCAACCAAGAGGACTGCTATGTGTCTCCCAAGCCTCCTCACTCCTACTTCCTGCATTCTGACAGCTGCAGGTTTTGAGGTTCTCTTTTTAGCACAGTTCTTTAACAATTTAAATGAGACATGAAGTCATGCTACAGAAACAAGCTCCCTGTCCTGCCCAGTAGGGCCCAGGTGCAAATGAGGCCCATGTGGTACTGAGACAGAGCCCCTCCAATGACAGTTTCCTCCGGGTACTAAGACCCACCCTGGATGACCATATGGAGGCTCCTGCCTTCAATGTGTTTTGATTTCAGAACTTCTTGTTACCAAAGTATTTGGTTCTCAGAGCTGCTGGCAGGTGGTAATAACAAAAAGAAACTGATTGGAATTTGAACTTAGTTATCAAGTCACTACAGTCCTAAACAAAAAAAAAAAGACGAAAGCTCTGTGGTCTTGGGCTTCTGTGAGATTTTCCCACAACTAACAGGACTCCACTCCTACCCTGTAGGATTAATATGAATAATAAATGAAATAATATCTGCAAAGCAACTGATGTATTTTCTTCCCCTAATTATAGTAATTTAGAAGAACAAACGCTTAGGAAATGAAAGTTGCAGTCTTCTGTTTATATGGAGAGCTTATTTAGCTTTGTTCCTCAAAAGGTAGGGTGGGGGCGCCCTTCTTGTGGTATCGGGAACTCAGAGGTCTGGGATGGTTCCCACACAAGGCTGCAGCTCATTTGAAGAGCTGGAGACCCTGCTCTGTCAATGAGCACAGCAGTTCTCATGGTCAGGAGTATGGGTGTGCCCACGCCTGTGTGTGTGCATCTGTCTGTCCTTGCTTCCAAGTTCTTCCTTATAGAGGAGCCTCATCGGTTTTGCGTAGAGTTGAGGCCTCATTTAGCTGTAAGAGGAAAAGCACTTCACTTTCTTCCTTGGGAGCTTTTCTCATGTAAACGGGGTTCTGGCCTGTCTGGGCACAAGGCTAACGTGGGAGTTCCCCTGACCCACGTCAGATCACAGCCTATGACCACAATCCACACTTACCTGGCAGCCACAAGGCAAAAGGTCCCTAGTCCTCTGCCAGAAGCCTGAGCAAACTCAGAGTTTGTAATAACGACAGTTACAGTAGTAGTAGTAGCAGTAGGACGGTTAACCTTAGTTGTGTCAACTTGATTGGCTTAGGATCTACCCAGAGGGCTAGTAAAGCATGTTCCTGGATGTGTTGGGTGGGTCATGGAGGCATATTGTGGTTACTACACATGGTCCCTAGCTCCTTCCTCTGGTGCTGTCCGCTGCTCCGCTTCCCAGCAGCCATGAACAGAGCATCTTTGCCTGCCAGGCCTTTCTGCCATGGAGCTAGACCATCATGGAATGAATCCCTGGAAAGAAGAGACATGTAATTTGGCTTTGTAAAGTGAAGTATTTATTATTATTGTTATTATTATTATTATTATTGTCATTATTATTTGCATCCTTCAACTTCTGCATACAAACTACATATTCTAATTTTGGAAGGGAAATGTTCCTTTAAAATCACATTTTCTAAATACCTGAAAAGTATACCCCCAAGTTGTCAATATGTAAATAATTAATGACAATTCTGGACATACTACTACTCAGATGCACTGAATGTTTCTTTGTTATAGTATCTGCATACCCTCAGTTTCCTCATCTACAAAGTGAAGATAATAGCACTTCCCACTTCAAATTGTGGGTGTTGGTATTATGTCCCAGTGATGAAAAAGCTGACTAATATAAATAATAATACTATTAATAGCACATAACAGGGCTGGGGATTTAGCTCAGTGGCACAGCGCCTGCCTGGCAAGCACAAGGTTGTGAGTTTGATTCCTGGTACCGGAAGAAAAACAAACAAACAAAATAGCACATAACATTTATAGACCACCTGCCATATTTTCCCAGTGAGCCCTAATCACAACCATCAGGGCTTAAAATCATTATTACACCCAGGAAATCAAAGCCCGGTAATTTTCCCAATCTCCCTATATTAGTGAGTTTTTTAATTGTTTTAACCAAATACTTGAAAAAAAGTTGGCTTTGAGGGGAAAGATTTCTTTTAGCTCATAGCTTCAGGGGTTTGCATCCATGGTCATCTGGCTTCCAGGCAGAAACCAGGTAAAGGATGGCGGGGGAGGGTGGTTCCTTGCCTCATGGCACCTGGAAAAGTAGAGCAAGATGGTGGGTAGAGCCAGAGAGGAAAGGCCTGGACATGTCGTGCCGTCCAGTGACCTGCCTCATCCATTTAGGCCCTACCTCCCCATAAAAGTTCAGCTAATGAACTTGTGAGTGGATTAGTTCACTTTATGAAGTTAGAACCTTCATGAGGAGCCCATCACTTTCTCAAAGCCCACCCACTCTGAGCACATGAGACTTTGGGGAACATTTTATAGATCTAAACCGTAACAGTGCCCCCTTTCTAAGAAACAACCCCCCCCCAGTATAGGAATTGAACTCACAACCTTGCGCTTGCTAGGCAGGCGCTATGCCGCTGAGCTAAATCCCCAGCCCCTCATCCTAAGAAAATCTTATAAGCCCTCTCTTTCCTCCCCAGCTCAACTCCCAGTCTGTTTGCAGGTCTGCTCTCTGGGTGTCATATGTTAAGGATCAGTGCAGGGCCTCCCTTGACCTTTATAGCACTGTGTTCAAAGGTTCATGTGTGCCCTGTTTCCTACCTTGGGGTCCGGAACCCGAAAAGTCCCCTCTCCAGCTCTCCAGCAGGTAACTCAGACAGTGTCTCTTGGGTGGTCTGGGCCAAGAATACGGATAGCTTCAGCTTGAGCATTGGCCAGGGAACTGTCAGTGGGGAAGGACTGCTAACTACACACTACTCTCCTCGGGGGCATTGGCTACCCACTTTCTCAGCCCAGGGGAGGTTGTCTGAGGCAAATAAATCAAGCCTGGAGATGGTGCTAGACTCAGAGATCTGCGAATAGCAAGGTGAGGGCAACCTTGTGGAGGAAAGCAAAAGTAGTGAATAACATTCAAACAGAACAAGCCCCCAAGGGCCATTTAGCATGGACTAAGTGACCTCATACTTCCACAGGCCTGAAGTTGTTATTTCAGGGCAGCACTTTTAATTTATCAAACATATGCATGCACATATACACACAGACCATGTACAACATCATGTGCTAGGTGCTCTTTAGTCACTTTATTTGATCTTCACAACCCCATGAAGTGGGAAGTGCTGTTATCTTCATTTTGTAGATGAGGAATCTGAGACACAGAGGGTATGCAGATACTATAACAAAGAAACATTCAGTACATCTGAGCAGTAGGTATGTACAAAACTGTCATTATTGGGGCTGGGGATTTAGCTCAGCGGCAAAGTGCCTGCCTGGCAAGCGCAAGGTCGTGAGTTCAGTTCCTGGTACCGGAGAAAAAACAAAAAAACAAAAAAACAAAAAAAAAAAAAAACTGTCATTATTTACATGTTGACACTTTGGAGCATACTTTTCAGTTTAGAAAATTTGATTTTAAAGGAATATTTCCATTCCAAAATTAGAATGTGTAGCTTATATAAAAAAATTGAAGGAGGCAAACAGTAATAATACTTGACTCTACAAAACCCTTGCCTGTAACCCTGTAAGGCAGCAGTGTAGGTCTTTTTAACTTGTGATATCTGTGATGATTTACAGACCCAGAAAATGTGAGTTTTGCCCAAGCAAGGTCAGATGTGGGGTCTGAAGCCCAGTCCCAACTGTCTGCATAGAGTTTGTTTGGTTTTTTTTGTTTTGTTTTGTTTTTCACTTTTTTTGGTTTTTTTCCAGTACCGGGAATCGAACTCATGACCTTGCGCTTGCCAGGCAAGCACTGTGCCACTGAGCTAAATCCCCAGCCCCCTAGAGTTTGTAATCAATGCTTTTAGAATGAATTGCAACTAAGACATCCCTGAGTTACATGACCTCTCTTTGTGAAATTTTAAGTTCCAGGCGAAAGGATGTAGCTGTAGAATGTGAGCAGCTAAAAGTGACTTGCTAATTCTTCCTGGAGAGAAACTGGTTTTCTCGGGCTGGGGATTTAGCTCAGCAGCAAAGCACCTGCCTGGCAAGTGCAAGGTCATGAGTTCAATTCCTGGTACCGGAAGAAAAAAAAAAAAGAAATTGGTTTTCTGAGTGAATCATCCATTGAGTATAAAGCTGAGTGTTACAAGGCTGCCTGTTACACAAGTTCATATAAATTCTTGCCAACATAAAGTAAGGGCTTATTTGGGGCATGGCAAAACTTTCACACCAGAGAGAGAGAGAGATTCCAGCTCATATTTATGCTGTATCTACTTTGTGCAAAGTAATCACTAATAAAGCCTGGATTCTGTTATAAGAAGTCTTAGGCTGAAAGAAAATTGATTGGCAGTAACTATTTTAAGCTGTACTTTGAACTTCTCATTCACGTTATTCTTTCTCTTTTCTCCCCAAGGGTCGGGATTACTGTTCGGAAGAAGAGGATATCACATAGCACCAATTCTATCACTCAGACCAGGAGCTACTACTGTGTAAATAGGTTACACCCCAGTTGAAATCTTTGCAAAGGTCGGTTCTCTTCAATGAACAGCACTATAGCAAAAGAAGATCGTTCCATATCGTATGCCCCATTAAATTACAGTGTTTCTTAATGAACTTCAAAGGAATATTGCTAAAAACAAACAAAAACTGTTATCGAACTTTCTTTGTTGCTGCTAGTTAAACTTGTTGCAACTTTTCACTTCTCTTGTGTCCAGGTATGCAGCAAATTCTGCAGTTTCACCTTAAAGATACTATTGGTTTTACAGATGCTCTTCAACCTATTTTCTATAAGATGAAGTAGTGGTGAACTCAGATATCAAACTTCTAGACCAGTTCTGCTTCTAAGTCAAGCATTTCTTTCCCTGTCTCTTTCCTCCGTATCTCTCCCAAGCCATCCAGAGACAGCCTGGGCCTTGCTTGTCGCTCGCAGTGTTGAGCTTTGGAAATGAGATGGTTGCTTTGGCCAGCCTTGTTTCTCTGCTCTGAAGAGGTAGAGGAGCTATTATCAATTAAAAGCATGGTGTGACCTGACTCCTGGAGGTGACATAGGAGCAAGCAGCAGGTTGTTCCATCTAATAGGTACCCTAATCAAGGATTAAGCTTGTAGCATTGGCTTTGCTCAGATGCAGATGGAAGTGTGATTGCAATCATTTTGAATCCCTCTTCCTCACTTTTTTTTCTAAGAAATAAACATTTTACTGTTTTTATGTATCTTTGTCTTCTCCCATTCATCCAGCTCAGTGTTTTAAGGTGATCTTGGATGTGGCAGTTGAGCCCTCCTTTGCAGTGACACTGACAAGTCCTAAGTGGCTCCCCACCCTTTCCTTAATAATCTACCGAGGCTCTGAAGGGCTGTGAATGGTCAGAAGAGACGAGGGAACACCCCATGAGCTTGTAGAAGGAACTGAAGCCACCATGTTCTTTCATCTTGTTAGCGGATAAAGCATCCTGTTTTGTGATTCTCTCCCTCCACAATGCTACATGAGCCTTGCCATTTCCTCCTCTTCTTCCTACTCGATAGTACATTGAAAAGCATTTGCCTACCCCAAAACTTTTACACTGGTGATGATATTTGGAGATGTGAAAGCCAAAAGCCCCTGGCAGTGGTGGGGAATGTTGACTGTGTGTTCAGTAGAGTTTATTTTTCCATACTATATGAAGAGAATGACCTCTTCTCAAAGACAGAAGTAATATTTTTAACAAATATTGTCTCACAAGTAAATAGCAATCAAAAGGAGAAAATAACTTTTGTATTTTTTTAACGTGTTTGATAGCTTTGATGAGGGTTCTCTTTGTTACTTTCAGGGGAAGGCACCCCTTTAAATGCCATGCCAGCAGTCCAGGTTTGAGTTTGTCCCACAGAAATGCAGAAGGAGCGCTGCATGGTTCTCTTTTTGGATTGTAAACTTCAAGGGCCCGGTATCAGCCACACTACGACCTTCCAAAAGTAGGTAGTTAAGAAGGTGAGTGGTTAAGACGTTGAGGGGAGAGGTTCTCTGCCACAAAATGGAATAAGGACCTAGATTTGTTCTAGCTGAGAGGGGCCTTCACTTTTAAATCCATCCACAAAATGGGTGGCACCACTGACATGCTAATAGTGAGTGCTCTAGAAAATGGACTCAAATATGTTAGCAACAAAATCCCTTAATTCTTGCAGCCAGCAGCAGCTATTTTGGGGAGCAGCTGTGGTTGTTACATAAATAGAGATGCAGCCAAAATGTAAGGCTTTTTATCCTGCTTCAGGCAGAAAAACGCAGGGAGAGTCAAGTAGTCTAGGGTTTTTAGTTCCCTCCCCCTGTATGGTTTTTGGCCAAGTGATGAAAATAGTTTTCCTCCACTATAAACGAACTGCTAAGCCCCACCTCAAACTTGTTCACTGGGGACTTTGTTTCTTGTTAAGTGGATGACCTTTTCCTGGATCTCATGTTCTTATCAAGCAAGAATGAAGCAAATGTTAACGTCTTCCATTTGACTACTCGGTGTCTCAGACGGTGTCCTCCCAGGCAGTCACCATCCTCTGCCCGGAGATGAAACATGCTCACATCATTGTCCTCACAGTCACATTTAACATTTTGACATGTTACACATGTGCACAGAACTACATGTTTCTTGGGACCTGACTTTTGAGTGTCTAATAAAACCATAAGTGTTATTCCCACAAACCAGCGGCTTTTCGCCTGGAGTTCTGTCTCCCGTGTTTAACACTGGATGCATCTTTGCTGTGTAAGAGTGATTTCCTCTTCAGACACATTTGGTACCACTAGAAGCAGGTCTGAAAAATGGGGCGGTCGAGTGGGTTGGCATGAAGTGCTTGATTATATTAACACTCAAAGCTGTCTTTTCCATTTGTTGGTTTTAACCATAAAATTGTCAAGCAATTTGTGTTTGTACTTCTTTTTAATACCTTTTGAAAGGGTCTAGAGCAAAAATATTTTCCCCTTTTTTCCCCTCTGTGTATTTGAACAATAAGCGGATTGTCTCAGATGCAGTGAAAAGAATGATCCAGTGTACGCCCTGGTACACTCTGCTAGTTGCCATCTCTGTAGGACATGGTTGGAAGGAGGGAAGGAGAGCACTAGCCTGGTGAATGGAGGAAGAAAAATGGTGAGAAATAGAGTAAGAAGCAGGCAGCAGAGAGGGCTGCTACACTGACCGTGTGCCAGGGTGATTGGAAGTGCAGCTGCCCGGTGGCCGGTGGGTGGGGCTGAGCTGGCAACAAGATGTACAGCTGGATTACACATGCCTTATGTACTTCCAGTGGTGGAGTTGTAAAAGTTCAGCAGTGTGTGCACAGCTTTCTTTTGGTTGGCAGAGATTCGGGATCATGGAGTTCTGCGCTCACAATGCAATACGTGTTCCGTACTGGCAGACAGGCTTCAAAGAGGCTTTCACCTTCGCAATTCCTCCTAGCCCCAGGCTTACTCGTGAGCACAGAGTGGTGCTGTGGTCTATTTAGGGACCAAGAAGGTACAAAGCCCAGTGACAGAAAACTAGGTCAGCCTTCAGAAACAGTGGAGGCACACAGCAGCCTGGTGGGCGGCAGGACTCTCCTGTCTGCCACGCCTGTGATCTGAGCCTGCCCTTGGATGATTCAATATGAAATGACCGGGCCCAGAGGTGGCCTTGGTTCTTAAGCCCTCTGCCCTAGCACCCGCCTGCTCCCCGGTGTAAAGTAGAAAATCACCTCTGTGTCACAGACACACCCAGGCATCGGAAGCGACCAGCCAGCAAGCTGACGGTCCTAGCAGCAAGCCCAGGAATGACGGAACCCACTCGTGCTCCCAGCTGATGTCATCCAGCTTTGAGTTATAACTCTGTCTTCCTCCCAAACTCATTGCCACTTTTTTTCTATTAAGGCAGGACTCTCCGGTAAGCCTGCTAAAAGGAGAAATTATACCTCTTCTGAATTTTACCTCAGTAGCCTGTGATGTAGGTTGGCCTATCAGTTATAAGTCCTGCTTACCCATTGGGCAAGAATTTAAAAGTATTCCATCTCTACTACTCTTAAGAAATTTGGTTAAATATGTTGGTTTTGTAGGAAGAAAAATTAACTCTTAATCCAGGAAAATACTGACTCACAATCTTGGCCTCCAGGACTCTAATATTTTCTTAATAAAGAGCAAAACAACTGGTATCTAAGGTTCTCTACCCCTCCTTTAAAAAAGAAAAAAAAAAAGGATTAGATTGCACTCTGTAATTTTACATAAATCTACTTTCCATGCTTTTCCCCCAGAAGGCATTCGCAGAGCTTTATTTCTTTATACTCTTAGAAATTGGTCTTTTTGTTAAGTTGCTTAAAACCCAAAAGAAAAAGGAAGGCACGGTGGATGAGTAGGGAGTATATATTTAAAGCCATAATGAAAAGATGGCTCAAAACAGGAACTCTGGCTTCCTGATGTCATGGCGGGTGACTGGACCCCACTGCCTGTGTGCGGCTGGACAAGGCAATTGGCTTTCACACTGCAAATGCCCCTGCAGTACATCTTCTGGAATTTCATGAACAAGGTCTGTGAATTGCCTTCTGCCAATAAATGGATGTGTTTTCCAAGGGGGAAAACTGCCTTTGACTTCAGCAGTCACCTTTTTGTATATCTCTGGAAAAGGGTCACAAAGCTATGGTACAAAATGAGATTTGTGGGTGAATATATTTACCTCTGTGGCAACATCGGTCCTGAATAGTGATGCTGTGGTTTTCAGGAAACTCACAGTTTACCTGAGATCAAGTCTAATCTTGGAAGAAACAGGAAAAGAATTGATGTTTATTATTTGTACTCTGCGCCAGCTACTGTGCAAGGCATTGTATAATTGTTTTGTGTAATCCTCACAACAGATCTGCAAAGCGGGTTATTCCCCCTGTGTTCTAAATAGTATATATTGTAAGTGTTGAAGGCATCTATCCAACAAAAACAGCCATGTGAAAAGAAGGAAAGATGTCATTCAAGTATTTTCTAAATTTTTATTATTACCATTATTATTATTATTACTGTTATTATTATTATTACCACGCCCCTCGCAACACTGTGAAAACACCTTCTGGGGCAACTATCAGGTTCTCCCCTTGGCTCCTCTTCATTTTACATAGGGAGTGTTTTGTCTAACGAGCGGCACACAACCCGGGAGAAGCTGCAGGAGGACTTCTGTGCTCAGAGAGAAAAGGCTGCGCTCCCAGAGTGCTTTCGGTTAGGAGAAGGAAACCTGGTACTTCTTCAGTGAGATACCAGATCAAGTGTTGGTGGCGGTGATTGCTTGCCTGCATTCTCCAGGCTTCCGGTTTCAGCACAGGCTGCATCTTTGCAAGGTTAAAAGCCTCAAGCTTGATGCAAGGCTGAGAGAATCTGATCGCTGGAAGTGGAGGGCTGACAGAACCTAGACTTTTAATCTCTATTGAAATTCTTTCTTGTGGGTTAGAATTGGATAATTCATTCTGACCATTCGTCTAAAGAGCTGTATTTTTCCAAGCTCTTTGGGGCACCAAAACTAAATAGGAACCTCTGTCAACACCTTAAAAGTTTGGGGGTAGTAATGCAGTGACTTTGCTAGTCACTTGATCCGAGATCAGAAGAGCCCAGGAATTCCCTAGAGTTTCTGTTCTTGCTTCTTAAGGCACATCGTGTAGGAAAAAAAGTGATTCATATCTCCATAGCAACTGTTTAAGGAGCTGCCTGGAAGGGACCCACATCCACCGTCATTTACTCAGCTTGAAAGAATCAAAAAAATTGAATAGAGGTCGTAATATGTTCAGTTTCTCTATGAAATCTATTCCCAAGATCATGATTATTTCTAACCTGGTGGCTGCCAAACTCCTTGAAGATGATGTGGGAAATGACTCTTACCTCTTGGAAACCAGAAAAATTGCTCTCATTCAGGAAGACCTCCCCCAAGCTGAAGGTCCCATTCAGATATTATCTACCCTGTATACCCTGAATCCGCGCTTCTCTTCTTCCCAGGGGTTATTTTTCGACCACGGTTTTGAGCGCTATTAAGTCCCAGAGTACCAAGAACACCATTAACTCAGCCAGAATGCCTTAGGTGCCCCAGGGTTGAAAATAGCTTTGGAACTGTAGGGGGCCACTTGACCCAGACTCAGAAGAGAACGGCCCTGATGTCCTAGCATTTCAGTCCAGCCTTCAGGGAGTCTCTTTTGACGGGCAAGTGAGCAAGGGAAGTTTGGCAAAAGATTTCAAGCCAGATTTTCCAATCAAAGCATGATATAAATTCATAAAATTACTGTCTATTTTCCTGAACCAGGCAGCCAAATTATTAGGACTACAAATTTGGATCAGTTTTCTTAACACACACACACACATACACAGGCACAAAGATGAATGATAAAGGGAATATAAACACATCATTATCAAAGACTTGAAGAAAAGGTTGTATATTGCCTTTCTGCAAACCCCAAAATAATGTCCAGGAAAGGATCAGTATAACTATAATAATACCACAAGAGGAAAAGCTAGTGATTGCTCTTGCAAAAGTCTGAGTTAGACGCAAGTGGGAGCATTGAGATCTGCTGCTGTTCTTGCCCGCGCAGCCCTTTCTGTACCAGATGTTCACATCTGTTTGACCCCCCCGGGACTCCTGCTGACGTGTGTCCTTTTGTGGCTCATGTCCTTTTTCAGCCCACAAGGCATAAAGGACACATTCCTGAGGGTGCATGCCACGTCCAGCCACTTACAGCCATGGTGTTGCTCACACACTCCTCCACTCACCCATGTGGCCTCGACTGGCATTTCAGCAGCTCCCCTGGGGTACTTTGACACCAGTACGTGGAACTGGCGTCCCTCATGTAGGTTGTCCCAGGCGCAGAATTTTTAGCATTCCCCTTCCCAGTCTTGAGGACTCACTCGAACAACAGACCACTTATGGACACCTGGTACACTTCAGGCACTGAGCTAACCATCAGCAGTACACAATTGAACCAAACATAGCTCCCACCTTCCTTAGGGAGCCCACCAGCAGTGGGGAGACAGCCCGGAAGGGCCACTGTAGGGAAGGGTCCTGGGTGCTGTGGTGGGAGCATTTTGCAGAGGCAGCCGGCCCAGCTTTGGGAATCAGAGGCCTCCAGAGAGCAGTGCCATCAAAGCCCACCTTTGTCAGAGAACTGAGAGTATTGCAAATGGCCTTCCAGGGTGATGGGACAGCGTGACAGTGAGCCCTGCGGAGCAGGGGCTGGAGCTCGGAGGTGAAGGAGGAGAGGAGAGCAGAGGGCAAGGACAGGGCAGTGAGCTGCCGCAGCAGCAGAGGGCTCTGAGGTTCTGCTGTGGATTCAGCGAACACAAAGAAGAGCTTCAGGGGCTGCTCTGCCTAAGGCATGGGTCGCTCAGACCTCTATGTAGTCACCCTCAGGGCCGGGATTGCCCTCCTCTTTAGGAATGCATGGTAGCCTCCTGAAATAATTTGTTCCTGTCTTCTGTTCCCGCCCCGCGCCAGCTCCTCTTCCTGTCTTCAAAAGCTGTTTGAGTCCAAGGGAGTTAGCCCGGACTGAACGTGGTTTGGAGTCAGATGGGGGACAGCTCTGGGTCATCCTGACCTGCCTAAAAATCCCTCCTGGGACCAAGCTGGCCTGTACCCGGACATGAGGGTGCACCCTAAAGTAAACACACAGGAAGCAGCAGAGGGCTTCCCTGTTTAGTGTGTAATGCTAACCAAGGCAGCTGCCCTCGATCTGCCCTCCACTGGGTGAGGTGACTGCACCTGGTGGCCGGATTCTGAGCACACACCTACGTCCAGCCAAAAAAGGGGCCTTTTAAAGCTCAAAAACGGCTGAACTGCATACAAGTGGGAAATACCCACACGCCTAGATAGTTGCTGAGCATCTCATTAGTACTGTCAGAGCCCAGCCAGAGTGAGCCAAGGAAGGTGCCAAGATACC